GTATTTTGGGGTAGTTTTTAATTTTTTTCACCCCTTTCCCGGTGGTTGAGAACTTTTTTACTTTGCCCACAGTTTTGTACGCATTTTTCTGATAATTTCCATATTTTTTCAGCCGTATAGCTCAAAAACCCGATTTCAGGGCTATTTTGACTGGACTATAAAAAACACCTCAAAACTTTAGTGCTTTGGTAGCTCCATCAGAACTTGAGAATGGCTTACCTGAAACATAAAAATAAAATCGTTTTATATTCTGTATGACTTCAGCTACAAAGTGACGCAAATATATAAAATTTTATCAATAAATAAAAAAATGGTGGACAAATTACAAAAAAACGTTATAAATGACCTTTTTTTTCATTGTTTTTGACTAAAAATAAATAGTAAAAATTAAAATATAAGAAAAAACTCTCCGTCACTTTGTTACAGCTCATGTGTAGAATATGTGGATTAAATTTTATAAGAATCGGTTTACTGGTTCGTGAGATACGATGAAGCTAGTATTTCAAAACATAGTTTCGAGATAAACGCGTTTAAAGTTTTTTTTTACTCAAAATCGTTAAAAATTCTTACCTAAACTTAATCTGCGATGCCTGGACCGTACAATAGACCTTCTTCTTGTTCATATTCTTCAATTTCTTCCAGTTTTGCCTTCTTCCACTTTGATCTGGCATCTTTTGAACACTCAGAGCTTCGACGGTTCGCAGAATCGATGCGTCGGTCGTCGCGTTTTTTAGCAAAGTCGATCGCTCCTGGCCCAAGTTTCATGTCCATAGTTTCCTTTATCTTCATTACTATTCGAAATCCTTCGTTGAAGATACATGCCGAAACTTTGCACGCAATTTACACAACTTTTTTGCCGTTAAACATGTGTTTAGGTGCCATGTGCCTTAGCTTTGAGGTACTTTCACCAGTCGATGGAACACTTAGAATGCTTCGGCTTGGCATTAGTCAAAATTTTGTGGTGGTATCCTGCCCAAATCTCGTTGCGCATATCCTATAAAGAATTCGAATTTCTTCTGACTGCTAAACCGTAGTTCTCTGAGAGTTCTTTCATCAATTTGATTGTTAATTTTTAGTTTTGACTTCAGGAACTTTTTTCACAACAGTCGTTTTTCTCTTCACTACTGTTTTTGCTACAGTTCTTATTTTTTTTTTTGCGGTTCAGCGTTTTTCTTTTCAATTTTCTTCTTTTGTATGAGAGCTTTTCTTGCCTTATTAGCGCGCTTAAAAATACGTTTTGCCACATGCAAAATACACTTCAACTTTTTAACAATGAAATCTTCACCGTATGGATAATAATAAAGCAGCATTTTAAAAGTCTTGGAGTCTCCGTAGCCGATATAAGAACCATAACGCACAGTAAATTTCTCGATTGAACAAGATAAGAGTCGACCGTGCGCGCCGAACGCTCAGGAGAGCGGTCCGACATAGTAACGTTCAGGCAGCAAAAAAATGTAGTTAGAGACATCGGATCTTTTTGAAATTTTAACACAATATTTCTACATATATATATATATATTCGAAAAATGTAAAAAAAAAATTTGATTTTTTTAAAATTGCAGTGTGGAACGTCCCCTTAACCGCCTTTTTTGTTCCTACGTGGAAGAGAACTCCAGTTCAACAATGTCATATTATGCTTGCGTTGTGTTTTTGATTAAGATTGTGAGCTACCGTAGAGGTCGAAAAGTGAAAAGGGTGATCGTTTTGCCGCCACGTCGATGTTTCGTAAAAGAATATTGAGAAAAAGATTATGCAATTAAAATATAAAAATAAATATTCGAAATGGAATTATCTTGGCTGAACGTCATGTCACGTCACGTCAAATCTTCATTATACATAAAAATTCAGTATCACATTGTAAGTATTTTATAGTCTCTGAAACGATAATACACAACCGATTGTAATAAAATTTTTTTTTTATTTCCTGTAATTTTATCCAACTTGGAATATAGGATAGTTTTTATCGCTATTATTCTTATTTTTTATTGCTGGTTTAGGGAATTATTAGATTGGGGGAAAAGTAATCCTTCATTTTTTCGTTAGATGACTTTACTTATCGATATCTCGCAACGTATCAATCAAACAATTTATGCTCCTTAGAAAGGTGACATTTAGAGTTAAAAAAGTGGGATGAAAAAAATAAAATTTAAATTAATAAATTTATATAATAATATAAATATAAAAAAAATAAAAAACATTACAAATTCTTTTTAAATAATTTTACACTACATCCCATTAAAATAACAGTATAAATAGGTATTGAAACAAGGTTGTGAAAGTTATGATGATAGTAGAAGGAATGGATTTTAGGAAGGGATAAATTATAAAAAGGGACGGTTTATAGAATAGACGGCAGTCTTTTCAATCTCTGGCAGTCCAACAGCAGTTTACTTAATTTTTTGATAACTTTTTAACAAATGCACTTAATTCTTTTACGTACATCGAGTATTATTATTACAGTGTAGTTTCAAAAGCTTTCAAATAATATCGTTCGTTTATATTTTCTTTTTAAATATTTATGTGGTTACTATTTTGTATTATCGTTAAATCAGTATGAACACGGTTAATGAAAAGTATTAATCTCGACCACAAATTTATACAATTCCATCGAAAATAATGGTGTATTTATGTGATGTGAACGTGAAATAGAAATAGAAAATTGTTATAATCAAAAAAGTGATTTTATTATCGGTTCATATTTGATCGCTAGGAAAATTTCGACTAACGAGCTTCCGAATGAAAAACTATAAATTATAAAATAAATATTACAAATTTTATGTAATTTTATTTAAAAAAAAATAAAAATAAAACTAGAACAACTGAAGATAATAATAAATTAAAACATTAAGGAAATATGAATTTGAGAATTATTTGTTATTTTTACCATGGTACTGACATCCACCGTACTGACATTTGAATTTATAATTAACCTAAACTTATTTTTTGCACATAATTAAAATGATTTTCCAAACAATTTTAATTGTATATGTAAAATTAAATACATATTTTGAATAGTTAATTTAAATATTGTATTAATATGTTTAAATTTTAATATCATGGTACTGACATGTAATTTTATGACTTACCTTTTTCAAAACAAAACAAATTATTTCTGTAATAAATATCAGAGCAATAAATAAATATACAGCTGTAAACTATACATAAATAGTCCTTCCTTAAAATGCCGCCAAAGAGATCGAACGAAACTGAATGGAAGATGGCGTTTAGGCGGCAAATATTTTAAATTTAAAAATTGAATAAAATTCCAGGATATAAATCAATGACAATTATATTCCTTTCTTCCAATCAATATTTTGGTATATTTGCAGCATAATTTGATGAAATATACATTAGATTTTAGTTATAAAAGCTAAACTTTAAATTATTAAACAAATCTTTATAGAAATTTATACATTTAGTTTGAAAAAACGAGAATCGGGCATGCCACGGTACTGACATTTTGCGTGTATTTCTGTAAGTTATTTATGATCCATGACTACTTATGCTTCAATAGCCATTGTCAACGGTAAAATACTATCAAGTTTATGAATTTTATAATTTTTTTATAAAAAAAAATATGTTGAATGATGAATAAAGTACTAGACATAAAAAATCACAGTTATCTGAGAATCACCCATATCAGCTTAATCTTCAATTATATCCTATGTCATTTATAGGAGTAGAGGAATTTTCTATGTTCATACTTTCATCATCAGGAACAACTATTTCATAATTATTTCGTGGTGCTGGCAATGCTATTAGGTCTGCACGTAATTGTTCTTTAGCTTATTTCTGTATCACCGGTGTTTCAGATCCAGCAATAACATCATCTGGATTAATGTTAAGTTTATCACGAACTGGTGTTGCCAAAACTCCATTTTGCAGTCGTGAAGATGCCGGTGTATTAAACGAATTCATTGGTGTTCCATCATTACGCCGAGAATGAAAAGGAGTTGCTAGAATAGTATTTGGAGTTGCAATAGCAGGTGTTACAGATACAACGCCAGAAAAATCAGTATTATTTAACGGTGTATTTATTCCACCTTTCAATGGAGTATCAACATGCGTTAAAGCCATAACGTTTTGAGCTTCTAGAAGAATTTTATCTTGCATAGCTGGAATTCTGGGAGTTACAGCAACATTAGTTGGGAGAGAATAATCAGATAATAAGCTATCCGATAAAGTAATTCCATTTTCAGTAGCTACTTCACGTACAACCTCTGATGAACGTCCGAGTTTAACCACTTGTTGTAATTCTTGATCAGAGATCTGTGATTCAGGTAAAACAAGTTTACTTCTTTTCTTCACTGGTTCTTCATTATTAAGCATCCCCATTGAAATATCATTTTCTTTATGCTGCTTTAGCTTTAACTTATCTTTCCTACGTTCCATTTCTTCCTTTTCCTGCTTGTGATCTCCATCTAATTGTTGTTGTCTCATTTTAGAAAAATCTATTGCAAGTGGATCTATATATTCGTTAGAAGTATCATAAAATCCTGGAGCAGGACGTTTTTCAGAAGGTATTTCAGAATTATAATTAAGTCCACGCCTGCTCTTATTCTATGCTTGCCAATGTAGCATTTTTATGATACCATCAGGAGTCTAAACAATTTTATTCAAATTAATAATTACATTTACACGATTTCGATTTTTTAATTATTTACTCAATTATTTACCCAGAAAGATGAAGTATCAATTACTTTATTTTTCAAACATTTCAGCAAATGTGGAAAGTCAAGCACAAACCATAAGCGTTTAATAGAATCAAAAGGACGACTACAATTAACGTTATGATCTTCTATTTCAAATAGTTTCCACGCTCTGTGATTTCATTGTACACCATCACAAATTGTATAATTAACATGAAATTCTGGTTTTTCAAGTAACACTACTTATTTTATAAGTAGCTTGTCTAGAATTTTTACTTAACAAACTTCTAACAACTTGTATCCTAGTCATCTCGGAAAGGCTGGAATATGAAAACTAAGTCATGATCGGTTCTAGTGTTTATTAAATACTCTGGTATGTGCTCCTAAATCAAAAAAACCATTCAATTGCAAAGTACGTGAATTTAATTCTATCCCTTCACTTAAAGCTATTTCCTCATTTATAAGTGTGCCTAATAGAAAATATTACAATTTTTTAAATGAATTTTATTCAAACAATATTACAAAGTATTAAGCGAGTCATTATTCGAAAGTGAATGAAAAGTTGATAAAAAGAAAGACACTCAAGCAAATCTAGAGATAAACTTAAAAGAGAAAAAAAACAAGAATTCAAAAGTTACTTGAAGAATAATTTTGTACAATTAATAATTAAGAATACTCATAAAATATTAATATTGTGATTCTACTTTAAAAATGTAATATTATAATCCTTTTACATTGTACTACTATTCGTAAAGCTTTATAACCGAGAGTATTAAAAATTGTTTTCGGTTTCTCGAAAGCAATATCCAATTTTGAAATATTACAATCTTGCAAAGAAGGAGTAAAATTTGTCTTTTTCTCAGGTGGTCATATATTCTACAGTTTTTAATTCTAATAAGAAGACGCTAATATACCTACTCTGTATCGTATCTTCGCTATCTTGAATTTTTAGCCTTAGCAATATCAATACAGGCTCAAACGGCTTTTTGTTGGATTTCCGGTAAATTAGCCTCTCAAATTGCACGCTCGAGTTAATTCGAGCGCACTAAACAGATCAAATTTTGCACACTCGAGATAATTCGAGCAGCGTTGTATTTTATGCTGCTTTAAAAATTTTGATTAATTATGTATGTTTTTAAATTTTTTGCCAAGACAATGTTCTAAATTGTGTTCTTTTACATACAAAAAAAAAATTAATTTTTTTTTGCCAGATTTTTCCATAAAAACTGTGTGTTAGGGGGTTAATTATTGATTGCTCGAATTCCTTCAGTTTATACTTCTGCATATTTTAATTTTTGCCCATTAATCTATTGTGAGACAGTTCATTATTCTAAATATAAAATATATAATTTGAATAAACTATAAAAATATTGTATACTATACTTTAATTACCATTATTTGCAAGTGTGAGCATTTTCCTTTTATTAAACATTTATTTATATTTAATTTTTTGATACCACACTAAAAAATTTTTAGGCATTTTGTTAACGATTTTGTTACTGTCTTCTAAATGTTTAACAGAATTGAAATCAATACACTCTATTATATTGTTGTATCTTTTCATTTGGTAAAATTATATTACTTGACGTTGTAGAAAATCTGTTAAAAACACATTTAACTTCAGAAATTGAGAAGTGTAAAATGAGAGAAATAAGCAAAAATTTTATTTTTATAAGATTAATTCTTAAATATATAACAGAGAAAAAGAAATTACAAGATATAAACTTAACATTTTAAATGATAACATCACAGGTAAAATCAGAAAAATATAATACTGTATGCAATTTGTGCTTATATGTTAATTACAAAAAAACAAAAAATAAATTTTAATTATACCCATAACATACCTTGATTTTCAAAATTCCATGAATTTTTATGTGAAATTTTAATTTTAAAGATTTTGGGCTTGTAAAAAAAGAAAAAATTTTTTCAAACTCTGTAACATTAAAGGCCCAGGTCCATTTTTGTGGTAACAATATCGTAGTGTTTAAAATTTGGAGTAAGTCATCTTTTGTTTAACTTGATCAAACTCGAATCTTCACTTTGAAACCTGTGACAAAAGTTATTTTAAAAAAAAGACATTCAAAGAGAATTAAATTTTACAGAACCAATATCACAATTGCAGACTCACTTGATTGTTTTCAACAAAAACAATAGTTAAAAACAAGTTTAAGAATGTATCAATATCTTTCTGACACATTTTTCTTTTTCCTGACACATTTACTGCATAGGATTCAAAAACAATTCAGAGATGCAGGAACATTCTATAAGAATAGTCAATTCGTTTAATTATTATTATTTCTGATCACACTCACTTTGCAAGGTACGAAAACTTTTCAAAATTATTATTCATTAACGTTTAAATTCCGGATTGCGTTTTGCTTCAATGTATGCATATTTTTTTTTTATTCATGTATATGTATTATCCCATTAAGTAGTAAGATATTATCACTTTTAAGTATATCCATGTCGTCAAAATGCAGTTTAAAGACATATTTTTCAAGTCTTGACATATAATTCTAAGTTCTATTTATTCGATTTGTTAGGATCCTAAGTAAAACAAAATAATAAGCGTTTAATAACATAAAATTTAAAATAGTCCGTAAAAGTAACAGTTGAATTTATTAATATTTCCACAATAAATGAATATTATCACAAAAATGATAAATCAAATTTATAATCTTACTTTTGGAATTTTGTAAGTAAAAGTTTGTCGAATGTTGTAATTTTTGTGTCTTTTTCGTTTTGATTCGCTACCGCTCCTGTAACCTATAATAGCACAGCACTTCACCATATTTATTTTTAAATGACTCAGTACATATTTTTAAACTACTTAATATTATTTAAAAAATTATATTTTATTGAAAATTTTACAAGTTTTATTATTTGATCATAACCTCATTAGAAAAATTCACGTATAACATTTTATAATTATCATGTATAGTAAGACGAAGATTATGGAGGGTAGAAGATATATCTATCTCCGTCGTAGTAAAAGCAAAAAAAACATTCGCAACACAACTGCCGCCTGGTGGACATAAATAATCTATGGATTGTATGGTTTTTTAAATATACCAAAATAGGACCCCTTATCTCGATCATTGTTCTTCTATATAGTATTTATGAGTGTGTAATTCGTGTAAATGTAATTCAAATTGATGATCAATTACGATTGAGAAAATAGATGAACGAAAAAATGAATTAATTTACAATTAAGGGAATGGACCAATGAGTGGCTGTTAATGTGCCATGAGTAGAGCACTATAGAGATGAGTATTCTCATCCGCCATCTTTGCTCCCTGAGTGAGCGGAAATTAAAAAAAAACATATGTAGTGAGTGTTAGTCTGTAGGTTTATCGTTATTTTTTGAAATTTTTTTAATTATTTGTGAATGAATGAAGAAGAAATTTTATTGAAATCGTTTAATAGTCGTAGACAACTATTGACATCTGTCTGAAAACATATTGACAAATACATTTTCAATAAGAATTTCTAAGCTCGCTACAAAGATTTTTGGGCTTTGTCTAGCAAAAATTGAAGGTATGTTTATTCTTTTTATATATAAATAGAACGATCATAGTATTGTAAAGTTTATAATTTCTTATTTTAAGGCTTGCTTGTAATCATTTCTAAAATCATATTTTACACAACAGAATTAATTTTTTTACTTATTACTATCATAACCTATAAAACATAACTTCTTATTGACTTGCATTATTCACAAAAGTTACATATTATTTGTATCATTACTTAAAATGTATACAACAATAATATTATTTTTTAAAAATATGTTTCACTTACATTTAAATTACATACATGTAGGAAAAAAAATATATAAAAAATGTTTTGTTTCATAGACTTCAATTTTCAGTGCTTTAAAAAGAGAAGATGCCGTGCTGTGCTGCAATTAATTGTAGCAACAAATCAAAAAAAGGCTTTCGGCTGTTTACTTTCCCGGCAAATAGTAAACGGATCCAATATATGGATCCAAAATATGCGAAGAAACAATTGGAAACCAAGTTCTTTTTCTCGCTTATATGAAGTAATATGTAGTTTTATTTTTGAAACATTAATTGTCTATTATTATTGATTTATTAGTTATATATCAAAACATACAAACTTTTTAGCATGGTTTAATTTATTTTTTCAACGAGAGGTGTTTTTAAATTGTTTATTTCTTATAGGTACACTTTGAAAATTCTCAATTTGAAAGTAAACGTGCAGATGGTTGGAAAAAATTGAAGCCCAATACTGTTCCTACATTATTTAATGTACCAAATCCACCTCCAAGGATTGAATCACTTCCACAGAGGTCAACATATAAAAAAAATAATAGTGATTCTACTCCAAAGGATGTGCAACTAATCAAGATGATACCTTTTCAACCCCAAACTATGGTTGAACAAGCATCAATTCCTACAATATCAAATAATGTGGATATRATAGAAAGTGATCCAAAGAGTATATTTAAGAAGAAAGATACAAATATATTATTAGAAGAGCAAATTGATAAACTTCAGAAAGAAAATGAAGATTTGCGTAATCAGTTACAACAAGCAAAAGCAGCATGTTATGCTGCTGGACAGCAAGAAAAAGAAGAACTTCGTTTTAAAAGAGAGACTTTGGCTGCATTCTTAAATAATGATCAGATTAAATTATTACAAAAAGGTCGCTTAAATCAATGGTCAAATGAAAGTATTATTAAAGGTCTTAAATTTAAATTTGCTCTTTCAGTTCATGGTTTTAATTTTTTGAGGAATAAAAATTTGAAAATGTTTTACAGTTATTACATTTCAAAGTTGAAACTATGGATACAATTGATAAATTTTGTGTACTATCTTATGATAAGATGTCCATTAACGAACAGCTTGATTATAACAAAATTATAGGGGAATTTTCTGGTCATACTACACTGAGAGCCGATAAATCTCTATTGGGACAAAAAATATTTGTGGTGGATATTAGAGGTATAAAAAATAAATGGAAACAAGTGATTGCTTGCCACGTTGCTCGTAAAGAATCCATAGATCCAGTTCAAGTAAAAAATTTTATTCTAGATTGTATTTCCAGTGTAGAAAAATGTGGACTTTGCGTTCTTTCACTTTCCTCAGATTTGGACGGCAGAAACAGATCTTTTTGGACATCTTTGAAAATAACTGCAACGAAACATGGCAAGGAGTTAATTCATTTAATTACAATAAGCATGAAATTTATGTATCGCTAGATGTTTGCCATCTAATAAAAAATTTAAAATCAGCTGTTTTAAGACAGCTAGTGTATCTGCCAGCTGAATTTGTTAAAATGGAAAGCTTATCAACAAATGTAGTTGATGGTTCGCACATAATTAATTTATGGAATTATGAAGTATCAAATGTTGGAGCAAAACGGTTATTACACCATCTTAAAAGAGAGGACATTTAGCCATCTTTTTAACTTAAATAAATTTAGCCAAATTTTGATAAAATGAATGTAGGTGCAGCTGTTCGTTTTTTTCGCTTAAAGCTGCGAATGCACTAAAAACTGCAGTAAAGATGAAAATTCTACTCGAAGAAGCCTTAACAACAGCAAAATTTATTTTAATAATAGAAAAGTGGTTTGGGGCATCTAAAGTACGAAAAGCTTCTATCACTGCAAGAAACTGTGATCAAAAATATATATTTCTACACTCAGTGATAGATCCTTTCCAAAATACTGTTTTTCAAGAAGGATGGAAGCCACTGAATTACGATTTTGTTCTTGCCACTTTGTCATTTTGTGATATTACTGAATATTTATTTGCAAATGGATATGACTTCATATTGGAAAATCGTTTCACTCAAGATGGAACAGAAAATATTTTTTCACAGATTAGGAAAAAAGAAGATAAAATGCCCTCTGCTTTAAAATGTCTACGAGCCATAAAAGGAATCACTGTTTCACAGTTTGTATTTGATTGCAAACGAACCAGTTATATGAATGATTCAGATCAATTTTTACTTGATTATTGTGCAAGGAAAAGGAAAGCTGATAACCGTTTAGTATTGGCTGCAAATAAGACTGTTGAACCTCCAGTAAAAAAGCTACAAACAAGTGATACTCAGTTTTGTGTGCAAACATTTTTAATTGATGAATGCAATTGGATTTCTCGTTATGATGCAAATAGCATCTTTTATTTAGCTGGCAGCACAACCAATGCTGGTGCCAAACGTGTTTGTAGAAATTGTGTGCAATTGACATCTTCAAATTTGCCAGACATAGATTTTATAAAAAATGCAAAGTATTACACCAAAGGGTTAAATAAAAGTGGTTTAAAGGAACCATGTATGGAAACTTATAGTTTAATTTTACATTGTGAACATTATTTCACTTTGTACCAAGATGTGATAATTAGAAATAGTAACTGTGATTTATTAAAAGTATTATTTAGGAAAATCAACATTGATTTTCCAAATCGTTGCTGTGTTAAGTACAAAATAATTAAACATTTTTTTAATGTTCGTTCGTATTGCGTGAAAAATTATTATGAGAACTGCAAACATCTTACCAAAGTGTATGGATCTGCGACTATGAAATGAAGAGTTTTAAACATTTAATTTATGCATTTGCTGCACATATATTGTGCATTGTTAATAATGATGTTAATTTTATTATTTATAATTTTATAATATGTTTAYAACGGAACAAATGAATAAATAAATATAGATATATTMATAYARATGATAYAAATTTATTTTATTTCAAATGTACAATTCTAACTACTCACTTATGCTATGTGCAGTTCATTACTTTTTTTTTTTAAATATATACAATTTTTACCATGTTTAATTTTAAGTACATGATTATGAAACATTGTATTTGCTTAAATATTCTAAAGCTGCTGAATACGATTTATATTCTCTTAAACTTGCATTTATTCTCTCTATTTGAGCTCTGATAGAGCGATTTTCAGCAAGCAGAGACATAATGGTCTCTTCGTCAACAGATTTTATTCCACTTTCATACTCCTAAAAAAGATACAATTATTATCTTTAAATTTACAATTAATTTACATATTTATATAATCCATTAGATTGACTCTTTTAATAGTATTCAAAAAATCTACTCCTCATATTTTGTCAATTCTTTGAAGCCCCATAAATCGGTAACTAAGGTAAAAAAAAAAAATAATGATGTACAATTATTGAGGTCCCATAGAAGTACAATCAAGCTAATTATGAACAAAATCCACGATCTCACATTTTTTTCGTTGTCCGCTTCACGTGAAATGCCCCAATAATTCAATTAATTATAAATATATGATAAATATATAAATAATTAGCATTAGTTCTAATTTTAAGATGACTTTTTTTCAGACTAGGGCAAAAGTTTTAATCAAACAATTACACGATTTGTGCGAACAAATAAAACAAGCCCATTTGGAACTATCGACATTTGTATTTTTACAAAATCAAGAAGAAGCTGCAGTTCCAAGAAGAATCAATGCTCTTATTGAAGATGTTAACAGACACAAATTAAACGTGAACGTATATTACAAATACGATATGCACAATTGCAAAATAAACTTCAGCAATGTTAATTTTTTACAATTGTATTAATCTTTAAACACAATATTTTAAAGTTTACATGTGATATAAATATGCCTAAAACTTTATTAAGTGTGAAAGGTCATTGTGTGGATGTTGCGTATGTGGATAGTTGCATGTTGACGTAATCATGTTAAAATATGTATAATATTATTTTTTTCAAAATAATTCGGACTATTTAAAACGATGAACACATAATTATTGAAATTGTTAAAAATTATTAATATCTACCTCTTCTTCTCTTTTCTTCAAACCAAAATATACAGGAAACATAGAGCTTCAGAGAATGCTATACAAAACTCCACACATGTGGTAACTCACTTGCAATCACTTAAAATAAATTCCATTGAATATGCACAAACTCGAAATAACTCGAGCAAAGATTAAGAAAATATAATAATTACATAAGAAGAATATTTACAAGAAATTTTCAAAAATATTGTGTAGGCTAATATAACACACCAGAATTTTCTTAAAACTGTATATTATCCATATCAAACAGATTAATAGGTACAATTATTCGCCACAAGAGGAATTCTATGAACTACTATTAACTACATATTACATTTATATTAATTATTAACGATGTACAAATACTTATGCCCCCACCCCCAGCTGTGTGTAATCTTCTACATATGGACCGTTTATTTTGAAAGTGGTGCAAATCTATTTTCTATTGTTTCGAGAAGATGAAAGGTTTGCAATAATAATCAATTTAAAACTATTCATTAATTATGTCAATTCTGGCTGGCAATGTTTCATTATTTAATTAAATTAATGTTTATTTACGGGCTGCAAATTGACTTACGCCACTTTCAAAAATAGTCAATCATTAATTGAAATTACATACTGAAATTTAATTTTAATTTGGAAAAATAAAATATCACTTAATAGTATATTACTCACCTAGGGAGGTAAAGTAAGAAATGTCTCAGAGTACATGTAATTGTTTACCGAGGCGAAGCCGAGGTCAACAAATATGTGCTCTGAGGCTTTCTTATTTACTGCCCATGGTGAGTATACATTTTTTCTGCTCGACGTAGGCGGAAAGCGGCAACTTCGTTTTGAACAGGAGGGAAGAAAAATATATGTATTTCATATTAATCTAATTTTTCTTACTAATAATAACAAAAAATAAAATAGAATAAGTATTTTTAATTTAAAATTAAATTGTTGCTTGTTGCATAAACTACGTGATTTTTTTCTTTTAAATGAACTCACACCACTTTCTAAATAAATGATCCATATATTTGTTTTCATTTTCCTGACAATTGTTTTTAATCTTCCCGCGCGAGTAAAGTTAATATGTACAATTATTATTAAGTAAACTATTATTATTAATAATTGGCGTTAGTAACTTGAAAGTTCATTGCCGCAAATACCAAATCCCACCATTGTTCCCGTCTTTGAGCGCGATCCTTCCATTCGCAATCTTCGTAGCCTATTTCTTTAAGTTCCCTCCTAATATTGTTCTCTCATCTACGTCTCGGTATACCCAGATCGAGTCTTTTTTTCATTCGGTAGTAGAAATATATACTTAAAAAAAATCTTTTATTCACCTATTTCGGACAATTACAATGTATGTGAATTTTCGAACTGTACATTTGTCATTTTTAATTAAACAAAGTTTTCTTTTAAATAGCCAGGTCATGGAATAAAAAGTGTAAAAAATTTAAATAATATCAGACATTATTATTCTAAAAAAAAAAGAAAAAAATTTTCGGCCTTTTAAATTAACATAATGGATAAAAATTAAATTAATATAATGTATAATGTGAATTTGATTCTGTGTGTTCCCTTTATTACTTGTTTCAGAAACCAGTGCCGTATGTCAATATAGACGACATACGATAATGTATTATTATTTGAGGTTATAATGATAATAAGTAAAAAGTTAAGTTAAGTAAATCACAAATTTAAGTATTATTAAATAATTTTATAAACAATAATAAGCAAATAGATAAAAGGTGAATAGAAGGAAAAAAAGAAAGATGAAAAAACACAATATTAGATTTATTTTTCTTGTCACTCTATTTTATTAGTAAACTCTGTTATGTCCCCCTTTTCGTTGGAACGCCCGAATTTACATTAGTTATAACAGGAATGAGAAATTTTTTTTATACTCAAATAGTTAAGAAGGTGTGTTTGCATGATAAGTCAATTATTGGTAGTGAAGAAAGTGTAAATTTTATTAAAATAGATATGTGTTTAAGCTGTGCATATATTAATATTTAAATATATATATATATAAGCTTTGTTTATTTATTGTACGATGTTATTAATTGTACGTTGATATCTACGGTTATACTTGAAAGGTCGACTTAACAGATGAGTGGTTTGAAAGGAGAGAGTAGAAGATCAGAACAGTAGAGATAGATAGACTAGAGAGATAGAAGGGTTTAGTGCTAGCAGCTGATTGCGGTACACCTTTTTAAAAAGAATTTAAGAAATAATATAAAACGATAAATATAGATATAGAGAATAGATATAGAGATAGAGAAGCATAAACATTAAATTGTTGATTCTCTATATTTTAGGTAAGTAGGACACATATACGTTAGGGTAAGTAAGTTTGTTACGTTGTTAATAATAAAATAATAAAACTCTATATTTTAGACGAATCAATCTTGTATTTCTGCTTCAATTTGACCTTTCCACACATTATATATATATATATATATCCTGAAGTTCGACCTCAATAATTTAAAGTGACGATATAATAATCTATAATAGAAATAATTTTATCTTTTAATATACTTCATTGTACAAATACTTATTGAAAAATGTAATCTTATTGTTAGATTAAATTTAAGTCTCTCTTACAATTAGATTTATATCGTCAAGATATTGTAGAACTATTTGCTAAAGTATTATTTTTTAAAACTTATTATTAGATAAAAGAATATTATTAAATTGATAATAAATATATATTCTTATATACGATTAGTCTTATAAATTTTAAATAATTATTTTTTATCTCTAACAGCAACTTTATATAATAATTAATAATGTGTGAGCATACTTTAGAAATAGATTAAATATACTACAATAAAAAAAAAAGTTCATATGAACATGCGTCCAATATGATCTTGTTTCCTAATTATAGTCACATTTAAACAGTTTTACAATTAATATTATAATTTTGGAACGAAGCTTTAAATAAACTATGTTTATAATAACCTTTTTTTTATTTTTCAACATAGAAACACTCTCACAACGTTTATAAAAAAAAAAACATCTGATCCCCTATATATATATTTTGAAAGATTGATAATTATAATTTTATTAATAAATATTATTAAGAAATTATTAATTGATTTCACCATAAAATCTTAACTTGAAAATTGATAAATATATATATTTGTATTAGTATGTATTGATTAATATGTAATTATAAAAACATTATAATAACATTATAAAAACATTATAATTACATACTAATCAATTAGTTATTATTCAGTATTTTACGATTTTGTATTTGAACATTCTATTATCATACTCTACTATAAGAACATTATGTGTACACTTTCCTGCTATCAAAACTGCTATCAAAACTGCTATCAATACAAATAATGGAGACATAGTACATTCTTTGTACGATATTATATTTTCCTTATTATTTTAGTATAACATTAATATCTCACACATTTATAACTCACGTGTAATATGGCATTGTAATGGAAACGAGTAGTACTTTCAACTAGTGTTGAAATGAAAGTATTGAAAATAGATTCTATAAACTAAAAAATGATAAAAATCAGGAAAAAATTGTTAAAATTGTACTATAAAAAAATTCTTTCATCTTTGAACAATCATGTCTCCAAAAATTATATTCAAATATTGGAGATTCTACTGTATTTTATGTTATAAGCAGTAAATTTTCTTGCAAACAAAAGTAATTATCTTTTGTAAAAACTATATATGTATCGTAAATTTCAAGATGTCTAAAATCTTTTAAGAATACCAGGATGAAATAAAATGGAAAACAAAAATATGAATTATGATCATAAAAATATTGTATATAGTGTAAACACGAAGTAGAATAAACTCGATTAACTAATCCCAACACTACACGTCTTATCAGGAAAAATTTTTTAACTTATATATCAAATGCATCTTCAAAAAGTAATTATGTTTATATTTGATAAAAATAATATTAGAAAATAATCGAAAATATTACGAAGTGCCATTATTCATTGTTCTTTGCTTTACTCGATATCATTCAACGAAAAATTAAATTTTCAATTAATCATAATATTTATAAGAAATTTATTTATTGTAACACAACATGTTTAAATTAAGTAAATATATAAAATTTAGAGTAATAAATTGTATTAAAAAAATTTTATAGTTATTTGATTACAATTTAAATGACATTATTTAGGTATACATTTATCAAAGAGATTGCAACAGCTAATTGTTTAATGGTGGTATTTTATGTATTATATATTTTATATAATAAATATATGGTTGTGTATGGTTATAAAAATATTCAGACACAACAGTATGACTAATTTTGTAGCTTCATATTTCTGTTGTTTATAAAATGATCGTCCTGAGTTTTTTTTAACAATAAATTATTTGTTAATACAATACATACGTGAAAGATACGAAATATACGTTTCGCAATAGTTTATATAAATAATTATATACTATTTATTATTATATTAATTATTATTATATTATAAGATTCTTTATTCTCAACATTAGTCACATGGAATCTTAATCCCATTAAAAATTTATGTGATAAATTAAATAGAAAAGTTTAAAACATTCTAATTATGTCGATACATAGCTGAAATAAAACAAATATTTTAAAATAAAAGGGTCAATATAACAGTAGAAAATTTAAGAAAGATTATAAATAATACAAACAAATAAAGACGTGTTCTAAAATAAAATGATTATATTAACCCTTTGCACTCGGTTGTCCCCTCTGGTGGGACAATGTAAGTGTAGCATATCACTCGGTTGTCCCAGCTGGTGGGACATGAAAGTTTATTAGCGATTACGGAGAATGAACTTGTTCCACCGCAATTTTTTAATAAACACGTGTTTTCCTGTAGTTTTCTATTAAAATGTCACAAAAAAACAAATCGAAATATAATAAAATTTTCAAGATGCATGATAAATAAATCACCCGTTTTACACGTCGAAAAAGAAGGTGCAAAGTTCGTTCACGACGGACTATACACTTCTCTAATCCGTTGAGCAATATGTAGAATTAGTGGATTAGGCGTACAAAGGTACACAATGGCTCAATGATATAGGAAAACTTGATAAGATAATAAAGAAATCCGAAACCTAAAAGAAAAAATTTACAAGAACTCAGTTCCTATAAAATAAATTTTGATTTTTTTTTTGTAAATATGTGTTCTTCAATGTCCACAAATACATATAAACTAAATTTTATTACAATTCCTTATTTGGTTCTAAAATTGTTCTGTATAATATCACATTTCCAGAATGTACGTTTTCGCGAGAAAGTGGCGTCGAGTTGCTGGTAGGTAACGTCCGAAACGGTGCCGAGTGCAAAGGGTTAAGAAGTATTACAATTATAACAATTTGGGTATTGTTTTATAAAAAATCAAACAATGAAATTAAACGTTCGAATATTTACGGAAGTCATTGTGTATATTATAAATAATATATTGTTTATTATTATATTAATTATTATTCATATATATTATACTTTAATAATTGTTATAATATAACTATTATTATATTACAAAATTCTTTTCATCCTCAATATTAATCATGGGACCCTAATCCTATTAAAAATTTATGTGATTATTATTTTTTTGTTATATTCTATTATACTTTCTTTTTAGTAAAATATTATTTTAATAAATATTTTAATAAATATTTTAATAAATGTATCTCTTAAAAAAATATATATTTATTAAAAAATGAGATAATTTGTATATTTCAATATAAAAATAAAATATGAAAAAAAATTAAATAATATAAATAATCCACTTATAAGTCAGATTCGATTGCCAATTAATTTCGTTTAATCATTAATTTTCTAGTCATACTCAAAACTAAGTACAAAATATTATTTATCTATCTCGATATTTTGAAATGTTAATAAAATAAAAAGAATATTAACTGATTAAACGAAGAAGATCGTTTGACCGTTTATTTCACTATCTGTAAGAAAGGTATTATTTGTTTCTTTTATTTGTAAGAAGACGATAATACTTTATACCGGAATCAAAAATCTATTTTAGTCAAAAGTAAACTTTTCAATCTTCTGTTATAAAACAAAACATTCAATTTTTTTCGTTTTCATTTATAACTATAAATAAATAAATTCTTTTCTTCAAATGTTTAAACAAATATAATTGCAAATATGTATAAAATAAATCTAAAATTAATAATAAATTATTTTATTTATATATACAATATTATATGTATACATTTATAAGTACACAAATAAATATTTAAATATACAGATAAATATATATATCGAGTTTTATTAAATTAATTTCATATATTTATTATTAATATATTTAAATTTTTACAAAAAAAAAAAAAATTTAATTTACAAAAAAAGAAAAAACTACGATATAAAATTATATGAAAATAAATGTTAACTAAATTATTACACAGATTGTTACAAATAATTACAAATAAATATATGTAAAAAATATTATATATATTATCAATATATATATTGATGTGGGACGAGCGCCTCCATGCCAAACTTATTGGGCATTCGTGAGAAGGATTAGTCGGTGGGCCCTGGATAGCTCAATTGGTTTAAAAGAGCAGTTTCCCGGAAAACGAAAGATCCGTGGTTCGAGTCCTCTCGGTCCAGTCCAAAGTCCAGCTGTCCAATTTTTTTCACGAATCCCACATTGATAATAATATTAAAAGGGTAAAGTACGCCTCTTATCATGTGAATAATCCAAGACATACAGAAAAATAAGCGGCAATCTGATGACCCGCTAATACTACTTCAGTCTCATTCTGGATCTCTTCGTGATAACATCACGAGTCGAATTGCGAGCAACATCGAAAGCTCGACACGTATGAAAAACGCGTGATAATATTATATAATTCTTGTTTTTAATTATTTTCTGTATTTTTCAATTTAAGTGTTAAACATAATGAGAGATAAAAATTATAATTTATTAATAATATAAAATCTAATTATCGATTTTTTAATATAAATTAAATCGTAATCATTACAGTGATCGTGATATACAAAAAGTATTTCTTTGTTTTTCCTTTTCTTTTTTTTTCTATTTATCTTTTTTTTTTTACAAATATTATATATGTGGATCTATAAACAATATTATACAGTTTGTTTGTGTATCACCAATGACAGTTGAACAATTCAACAAAACGTTTATTAAAAACGGTTTTCCTTTAAAGTGTAAATAATAAAAACGATATTTGAAAGGAAAATGGCTAAAGACGAGAAAGGAAATGAAAAGGTCGCATTGAAACGAGAACTTGGACTTTTCAGTGCCGTCAGTATAATTCTAGCGGTTATGATAGGTAAAAAGAAACAAATTTTTTTTTTCTTTTTATTACCTTATATTTGCTCGCTAAATTTCTCTTTTTTTATAATGATACGTAAAAACAGATTGTTCACACGTTTAACATTCAATGATTTTATCAACTAACAGCATAACACGCGCATTTTGAATGATGCTGAAGTTATTAAAAATGCTGAAAACGTGATTTATCGGAATTTATCGGTCACTTTGTTATTTTACGCAGAAGAGCTATCAGTCTCATGTCAGTATTTTTTTCCCTTTTTTTAATAATATATATATATATATATATACGTTTTCAGCATTTTTAATAACTTCTTCAACAAGAAATATATGAAAGTGGTCTAAGTCATATATTTCTTGTTTCGAGATATTTAAAGATTTATACTTGAACACTATATGAATTCTACACAATATTGAAATAACAAACATTATCTAACTATTCATTTTTGATAATATTGTAAAAATTACATTGAATATATTTAGTTTAAATAGTGTAGTGCGTAATAGCTGATAAACTCATTTTTTATTAATTTTGACTTAGACTACTTTCATAATTATGGGCATATATATATATATATATACGTGTTATATATTATAAGAAAAATAAAATTTTCAAATAAATTGAACTTTCGCTTAAAATCATTTAGAATAATTCTTTCGTGATGTTAAANTATCGTAAAAATTACATTGAATTTATTTAGTTTATAATAATACAGTGCGTAATAACTGATAAACTCATTTTTTATTAATTTTGACTTAGACTACTTTCATAATTATGGGCATATATATATATATATATATATATATATATATATGTTATTATACATTCATATATATGTGCATTTTATTCACACATAATATATAAAGGATGATTTTAAGAATTGGAACATATTAATGCTCTTTCTAAAATAAAAATAGAAAAAAACATGATAGTGGAAAAAATCGTACGGCACTATAAAATTTTAATTTTTTAATCATTTGATATCCCTTTTATTTTCTCTGCAAATTAAAAATTACTAACTCAAGGTCATCGAAAGGTCTATAGTCTATAGTTATTGGATATCTGGACAACAAAAAATTAGATTGCATTAGAAAATAAAATTTAATCACATTTCATGATTCTGCACTGGTGCATCTATATAAAAAAGAAAAAGAAACATCGAAAAACAAGAAATTAGGACATGTGTATGTATGATTTTTTTTTCTGTATCATTTTTTTCTATTTTTGTCTCAAAAAGAACAGTAACTCCTGTCCCAATTTCCTTCAAAATAATCCTCTATACAGATTGAGTTTATTAACATTTAACATATACGTTTTCTTTTCTTTTATTTTTCTTATATTTATAAATCTTTCTTGATTTCATTGAATAATTGGTGAAGAAACTGGTTGAAAACATAAGCAACAAATTTTTTGCAACTTTGCATTTTCATTAAATCGTCATTTTTAATATTCTTTATTTACACATATTATATTTTATAAATGCGTGGTAGTTTTTTTTAACATTCGCACTTGCTATGAGTAATCCGGTAAAATAAATAGATATAGAAAAACTATTAATAGCAATAATAGTAATAACGTGAAAGCTGTAAGTGCATTAGAATCGAAAAACAATACTGCGCAATCAAAATATATATATATATACAAAGTATTACATTGAGACATCTAAATATCTCGAAAACAAAACATTTATTCGAGATAAATTTATAAATAACATTTATTCAATTTTATTCTGCATATTTATAACTTTATATAAATTTATATATGATATACATTAAAGAAAGAAAAAGATAAAAAATGACAATACCTTGTATAAATTATTATCTTTTATTATCATCTATTATATGTTAATATAATTAATACTTCTTTATTTGTTTAATTAATTATTAAAATAATATCGGTTGTTATTAGTTAACAATGTGTTTTTTTAATGATTTATTCAATAGTAAGAGATATAATTAATATTGTTTTTTAATTTTATCTTAATTAATAATAAATTAATATATACAGGGTGTCTTATAATATGTGGGATTCACTTAAGGAGTAAACAATGGACACAAGAATAATAAAAAAAAGGTTCACATAAACAAAAAACTAACAAGACGTTTTATTATCCATTGATATGTCTTATCGTCATAACAGCATTGACGCAAATGATAACAATTTCGAATGTATTTTCTGTAATCTAAGACAATTTATCTTATTTAAATGACCTTTATATTAATAATTTGCTGAAACCATTTTAATACTGGCTATTGTAATGTGGTAAAAAGAATAGGTTATCCCATTAAGGCATCATTAGTGTAAAATTTTGAAAAAATTGATTTTTTTTTTTCATATTTCGATAGTCTATACCTTTAAAAATAACATACTAAAATTTCAAGTGCATATCTCATATAATTTTTGAGTTACAGCTATCTGATATTTCTTCATTTATAACGATTAAATCTGTAACTTAATCTTTAAACGCGTTTTTCTCGAAATTACATTTTTCAAATTTTCTGCAGTTATAACCCGAAGACAAATCATCCGATCGATTTGATTCTTGTTGCAATTTCTTTTATATATGTTTTTCCTACCATGAATCTCGAGTTTTTTGATCGAATAAAAAATGTAATTGTGGCAGACCAAAAATCATCAAATTTTCCCGCGAAATTTTCAACTTTTTTTTTAAATTTCGCCATTTTGTTAAATTTCAATTTTTTTTTATGACCGAGGGTTATGTAACGAGCAATTCCTTTTAGTTTAATAAACTTTTTGTTTTTTTTTTTATTTCATGCACTGTGAAGGTCGCTATAACTGCAGCAGTGGGTGGATTTACTTTTTTTTGAACCTTGGGAGATTGCGAATAACTCACTTAATTTTCAATTGTTTGCTCCAGAAATCTTGTTATTTACTCATTACATCACGGGGATAGGGAATTTTCTATCTCCGTGCATTAAATATTCACGAATATTTCCTTAAAAAATTAAAACATTCCATTCAGTTGTTTTCTTTAAAAGAATTTCCAAAAATTACCTTTTTGTCAAGCGATCACACTAATGGTGCCCCTTAAGAAAAAATGACAATGAAATCTTTTTTATGCCACCACCCCCATTAACCCTTTCACTACTACGGGTGACTATAGTCACCCGCCACAAAACGACACCCGCACACGACGGGTGACTATAGTCACCCGTCACACGATGCCACCTATACACGACGGGTGACTATAGTCACCCGCTCCAAAAATGGAACCAAATGTTAAGATAAATGGTATCGCTTCGTGTATTATTAATTGTATTGTTGAATTAAAAATATATCCATGGAAAAATTATGAACACAAATCATTTTGTTTCTAAAAGTAATGTCACAAAGTCGTTTTTGAGACAAAAGGTTCCGAATGCTAAAGACTGCGCGCACTTAATGTTCTTACTTTCGGTACGTCGCTCCGTTCTAGACGAGGTACTCCGCGGCGAGGCCCACCGTAGCGAAAGGGTTAAAGAAATAAATATTACAATATACCCCCTTCTATGTCATTCAAAATTGCTGTAACAAACATTTATTCATATTATTATGAAATAACGAAGATATTTAAAGTGGACAGTGAAATTTTTAAATGTGAAAATAGATAATCAAAATAATATGATCAAGTAGATTGTTTTTATTTGATTTTTTATAATCTACGAGCGTATCGTAAAGAAAAATATTTAATCCCATTTAAAAAAAAAAAAAGAATATGGATAACCTTGAATCTTCTATATAAGTGACCTTGAGAAAAAATTCTTTTAATTGCAACCTTTTCCTTTAAGAATTTTGAATGTGATTATAAACAATGAAGATATTTAAGATAAATAGAATTATTGTCCCTCAAACATCCTGTATATAATATTAATTTTTCGCAATTATAATTTTATTTTAATTTTCAATAAATAAATAATTAATAAAATAAAATAAGTACATTACGAAATGTGCTGATTCAAATATGTTCCGTAATTCGTAATACGTAAACATATACATATTATTTAAAAAGATAATATCTAATCGTGAACTGATAGAATATGTGCTATTTAAAAATAATTCTTTATTAATATTATTTTTTTCTCTTTCAATATCAATCATGATATAATAAATGGAAACAATTTCATTAAGATATTATTTGATAGATTTACAAGACCATAGTTAAAGGTAATAAAATAATTGCTTATGATTGAATAAGTTCCAATTTGATATGATAAGAAGAATACAAGATTAACTGATCATAATACATAAAAGAATTATAAATAATGTCGACATGAAATATTCCCAGGCCTTTTGAAGATATATAATAGTAGATCTTTCTTAGTCAACATTTTACAAATTCGCGACATCATTGAATAACATTAATTGATTCTTCAAAAGATTAAAATATAACAATAACAATTCTCTAATAACTCATTAATTTTAATTTATTTGAATTATTAAAAAATTATTAAATTATGCAACTATAATTATTCATATTTAATTAAACCAAGAAAAAAATATTGTTAAGAACTATTGTTAGATTGACATTATTAAACATTATTTTTTAAATAAGATGTGTTTACTGTTATAAATGTGTATTAGCTTAAAAATAATTTAACAAAAACATTTAAGCAAATAAATTTTACAAATTTCAACCATTTTTTATTTTTTAATATTGATTACAGCCGAGCAATTTATTTCTCAACTTTACAATTGAGAAATACTACCGTATAAAATCTATTTGATCAAATAATATCGTACAATCAATGAAAAAGAAAAATATTTAACTAAAGGAAATAATTTAATTAATTGGTAAATTCAAGTTTTGCTTACCTGAAAATATAAAATTACGTAATGTAAAGTTTGTAGCATAATTTATATCGTTATAATTATAGTAATATAATTATAGTAATATAATTATATATAGCAGGAGTTACTAACACATTAATCGTGAAACGATTTTTTAATCGATTATAGCCAAAACAGGAGACAATTTCTGACAGATTTAATATTGAAAAGGACCCATTAAAAAATAAAACGATAACTCAACAAATTGATTTAATCTCTCTCTTACTAGGTAAAAAACTTAAGAAAGATTTTTGGTAATTTGTCAATCGAGAGAAGTTTCTCAATATCACCAAATGTAGCAAATATATGTACTCTTTTTTTGAATCTACATACTTATGTGAATCACACCAAATTATGAACGCTTAATTGAAAACATTCAGAAGCAAACTTCCTATTAATATTATAAGAAAATACAATTTTATTTGTATTTTTTCTGTGACTACTTTTTCTTAATTGTAAATATTAAAAAAATATCATGTTGGTTAATACTCTCTTTTATTATTATTTTTGTTAAATTAATTTAATTTTCATTTTGAATATAGGATTGCGACTCATAGGTTGAGAAACATGAACTCTAACATCTATTTAACTTAACAAAATATCTATTTTTCTATTAAATTAAGAATTTATTTAATTGTAAGTAATTTAAAAATAATATACAATTTTTTTATTACGTTATTTAACAAACTTAAATTATTTTAATTATTACAACATCAAATCATTAATTTTAATTTTTTAATTATTAAATTAAATTATGTTGTAAATTTTACATTACGTCAGAATTTTTAACATTTCCTGCTTTCTTTACTTTTTTTGTTTCTTTTATTTTCTATAATATGATACTCATTAACTAAAGAACAATGTCGTTAATCATTGTCGTTATCCCTTTTGAACGGAGTTATGAATGAATGGTTCAATTGGGGTTAATTATTAGACCCACGCATTAAACGATTTACAAATGGGCAAAGAATTATAACTAAAGTTTTTTTTTCTTTTTTTACAGATAATAATAAATTTTGTTTAAAAATAAAAAAATTCTTTTTTTTATATTTTCAGGTTCAGGAATTTTCGTGTCGCCAACTAGTGCTTTGGAAAGGTCTGGATCTGTGGGATTTTGCTTGATTATTTGGATAACTTGTGGTTTCCTTTCGCTGTTAGGTGCTTTAGCATTTGCAGAATTAAGTACTGTTGTACCACGTTCCGGCGCGGAATATGCATACTTTATTGATGCTTATACTCCTTTGCATTATTGGGCAGGTCAAATACCAGCATTTATTTGTTCTTGGGTTTATGTAATACTTCTAAGACCAGCAGAAGTCGCAGTTGTTATATTAACATTCGCTGAATATGGAGTACAACCATTTTCTGACTACTTGGGCAGTTTACCACCAGAATCGATGGATCAATTAAAAAGACTTATTGCTATGTTAGCACTGGGTTTGATTACCTTTACGAATTTGACCAGCGTGAAACTTTACGTTAAAGTACAGAATGCATTAATGATATGCAAAGTTGCCGCATGTTTTCTGGTAATAGGAGGTGGTATATGGTGGTTAGGTACTGGTCACACAGAACTACTCAAAAATCCGTTTCATGGTACTACTGCGTCAGCTGGTAACATAGCCTTAGCTTTTTACAATGGTTTATGGGCATACGATGGATGGTCATCAGCTGCGATAATCACAGAGGAAATTCAAAAACCAGAAGTAAATATCCTCAGAAGTATACTAATAGCAGTACCAACGATTACTGTTCTCTACGTATCAATGAATCTGATGTACATGGCTGCTTTAACGATTCCTGAAATGGTCAGTGCACCTGCTGTTGCAGTTCTTTGGGCTGAAAGAGTTCTTCCTAGTTGGTTATCTTTCGCTATACCACTTGGAGTCGCATTTTCTACATTTGGATGTGGTCTTAGTATACAATTTAGTGTATCAAGATTGTGTTATGTCGCAGGAAGAGAAGGTCACGTACCTCGTATATTCAGTTATGTACACATGGAAAAATTAACGCCAGCTACAGCTGTAGCATTTCAAGGAATACTCACATTGATTTGTTTATTGGTAGGAGACATTACTGCTCTCATCGAATTTGCTAGTTTTCTCACATGGGTTTTTTATGGTTTTGCTATGATCGCGCTTATTATTATGAGGAGGACTAAACCTGATGCGCCTAGACCATATGCCGTACCAATTTTAATACCATGGTTGGTTTTTCTCATTGCTGTTTTTCTCGCAGTCATTCCTATCATCTACGAACCGTCCTTCAAATATTTGTTTGCTGTCGGATTCATTTTGTGTGGTATACTTGTTTACCACGTTTATGTGTATAAGAAAAAGAAAAGCTCTTGGTTAGGTGAGTAGCTTTTTCAATAATTTCTTTTTACAATAAATAGATGAATTGTAAATGTTATGAATTTTTTTACAGCTAAATCAATGTACCTGATCCAAGCATTAAGTTTGGTTGTTGCTCCAGATGAAGAAGACTGATTTCTTAGATTATGACCAATATTTGTAGACAAGTGTTACCTATCTATTTAAAATGATTCAAGAATCTAAGAAAAATTATTAATTTCAATAAGTACAATTATTTATCATTATTACAATGCTCATTATTTTTTCTTTTTGTAATATCAATAAATATGAGTATTTAAATGCATTAGCTAATCATTTTGATCTCATAAAATAATTTCATTTTTAAATATAATACAAAAAGATTTATACGCATGTATACAAGGTATCCTGGGATTTACTAGCCAAACTGCAATTCGTTTAATTGAAATTATAAACAAAGTAAATTATAATAAGTTACAGCATATTTATAATGGACCAAGGAGCATATCACTAAAGATATCCACCCAAACTTTACACCGAAATTCGTATTGGAAATTTTTTGGTGAAATAGAATATGGATTATTGTGGGCCCGTATATGACTAATCTGAAAAATTGAAAATATATCATATCTTGTAAAAGTTCCTCAATAATATTTTCGATGAAAAAAAATTGTCTCTTTGTACTGAATTTGTATACCAATTACAAAATTAAACTCGTTTCCATTAATTGATTAGAAATAATAATACGTGCATTGTTGAGTAATGATAAACAAATCTTTCATTGGATCGCAATGTTCTTCAAATAGTGTTTTGTAATGAAATAGGAATTTCATCTCTTTATCTTTTTATAGGAATATTATCAAAAATGTTGTTATGTTGTTGTTGTTGTTGTAATTAAAAGTATCGTTTGCTATCGTAGATAAACATTGTATTTGCTCCTAGGTCAAAATAAATCCAAATTGCATTATTGAAAATGGATATTAATAAATACAGAGCGATATAATACTGCTCTTTTAGGAAATCTTCTGTTATCTATTTTAATTTCATTTGTTTATAACTTTGTAATTGATTTATTACTAGCTGAACTTTAAAAAATATTGTTTTCTTATTTCCACTCACAGTTCACAGTTTGGCTGCTTAACCTTGGGACATCCTGCATACATAAAATTTTAATAATGAGTTAATTACGTATACATATTTACTTTTTATTTATAAAAAATCACAAATGTATAGAAAAATATTAAAGAGATTGTTAACGTTTCATCAAAATCTTTGCAATGTCAAATGTAAATATTAATACAAAATTTATTTAACAATAATCTTGACGTATATTATTATATTCTATAGATCAATATGTGTATAATGACTCAAAAAAGAAAAATATATATATATTTTTACATACTATATTGTCTTTTTAAATCTTATTAATGATAAAAAATAAAAATATAAAAAAAAATACCTCACTAGAATGATCCATATAAATATTATAAAATATGTGCAGATACCTTCATAAATATTAACATTAAGAATACTTAATAAATCTTTGTTTGTTTACACTAAATTAATCGTAACATTAAATGTGTGTTGAGATTAAATAATAAAATTACAAATTTTATACATTCTATACGCAGATGTTATAACTTAAACATTACCTTAAGCTGTATAATATCTTTTACTTAGAAATCTCCTTTTCTAAAAATATTCAAATAAATATATAATGAAATTCATCTAATCTATCAAAGATTTTATTGAGTCGTGCCACATTTAGAACAAATCTGTCTTTCGCTAAAACATTGATTAATATTAATCAAAAAAAAAATTTAAGAATCCTTAGAATTTTAATCACAGATTCACTTACCTCAACATCTGATGTAAATTCTTTTGTAATTCATTGCAAAGCGCAGATTCTGCTGCTAGAGCATTATCTCGTTCTCTAAGTTGTTGTCTTAAATGATAAATTGTATCTTCCATTGCTTCAAAAATAGCCTAAAAAGACAAACATTTATTAACCGTAACGATCAACGTTATCTTTATATCATGAAACACAGTTTATTATTATCTGATAAAAGTATAAAAAAAAATATGTTATTTACCCTAGATTCTTCTGCAGTGTCTGACAAAGCGGGTGGTTCGTCTAAACAAAAAAATTGTCTAACGCAAGCGCTACCTATGAGAATTGGATTACTTAATATACCGTTGACAAATGCTTGCAAACCGCGTATCCTTTCTTCTAAAAAACTAGGTGCAAAATTGTCACCGAGCCATTTTTTTTGCGGCAAAGACAAATGAGAAATAGGAAGCTTTTGTCTTCTTAATTGAGCAAATAAGCGTACAAAGTCAGTGTATCTTCTGAAGACAAACCAACAATCACCATTCTTCAATTCAATACGAAGTTTGTATACCTACATAAAAGTATATCAAATGTTTTCTAAATAGAATTCAATTGATATATTTTCATTTAGTATGACTCATTACATATACTAACTGTAAATCTAGCTCTCTCTTCCATAACTTCATAACCAACGATAGGTATTCTTAGGTCATCGTTTGTCAAGGGGGGTGGAAGAATATTAGAATTTGTATTCTCGTTAGGATAATTAAATCGTTGTATGGAAAACGAATTAGAATGGCCAGATCCATCAGAATCAGGACTGTCGAGTACCCTTATGGATCCTGTTTGAGAAGTCCTTGCTTTACTAATAGCAAGAGTAACTTCGCTAATACATCCCACACCAGTCTCTGAAGTAGACATTTTACCACCAACAAACTAAATAAAACCATGCATACTTAAAAACAAAGGCAAAAAAAAAAGAAAAATGTTAAAAATTAATTGAAAGTAAAAATAAATCAAATTAACATTAATAAGCATAATAATAACAAAAAAAGAAACTATAAATTAATATCATTAAACATAATTTATATATATATATGTTTAATAAAACTAAACATTTGGCATAAAATAATTTGAACAAAATAAAATAATAAAAGGAGACCAGCTGTTCTTATCAAATTATGAAAATGTAACATCGTAAATACAACATGACAGAAAATATATATAAGTTTTGACATTAAACGATACTAACCTCGCTTATAAGTTAATTAAAATTACAAAGGTAATGACCCATAAATACAATATTTTATCAACTAAGATAAACTTTTTTGGAATTCATTTTTATGGGTCAAAAGATAAAAATGGACGTATGGTATGAAAAGTTAATTAATTAAAAAATGACATTTACGTCATATCTCGAAGATTACCGAACAGTAAAACCTAAATACCCATTAAATTGTAAACATACAAGAGAGTGCAACGTCCGAATTTTTGTTAGTTTTTTTTTCTCTTTTATATTATTGCATTATTAGAAATACAAATTCTCTACAATTGACAAAGATTAGAGACATTTAATTTTCATATTGATCCAGATTGGTACACTTGTCTTGTAAGTCTTTTGATTGGTTGAAATTAACCAATCATATTAGTTGTTTTTAATGGATAAATACAAATAATGTAATATAATTATATATTATATTACATTATAATATTATAATATATATAATAAAATTTGTTATTATTTATATATATTATATATGTTTTTATTTTCATAACTCTGATATTACATATAAATAATATTTATTGATGTGTCAAAACGTTTCGATAAATCTATGTGCTTAGATAATATATGTTAAAATATTTATTGAAATAGAAATAAATCATCATTATTATTACATTTAACCACAATCGGTAATTTCATTAACGTTTATATCGATTGGCAAATATTAATCTATACGCGTGATCTACAAGAGGTACCTAAATCGACCTAAGTTAGCGCCATCTACTTAAAAAAGAAAGACATATATATACATAATAACCTTAAATTTTTCTTACCACACTTATGTGACGTATACTATATGTGATCTGTCATAAATTAAGAGGTATCTATCTGTTCTAATGATTATGAAAATAGTTAATTGCAATGAGTGAAAAAAATACTAATTCAGCTTTGGTTAGACGAGTTAATAAATTACTCGAATCAAGAGTAGAACATGACAAGGTATCTTAATAATTATAATTTATATATATATATATATATATATATATATATATATATATATATATACACATTTAAATACATTTGATTATTATATATATCAAATTTACTCTAACTTAATATAACTTTCTTCTTTTTTTTTTCTTAGGATACATTGGAAGCTTTGAAAGAATTGTCAACATTTTTTACGGAAAACACATTAAATGCTCGTCGTAATTTAAGAAGTAAAATAGAAAGAAGAAGTCTTGCCATTAATGAAGACTTTTTATCATCTTTTAGAGAAGTTAAAGCTTGTTTAGATAATATATATCAAGATGTATTAGCGATGAATACTTCAGTTCAATGTATGACCAATCGCTTACAAGTTACAAAAACTAAAACTTCCCAACTAATTGAACAAACAACAAAACTTCAAAATGAAAGGTATTTTATTACGAAATAGTAATATAATTAATTATAGAAAAAATGTTTAACATTTGTATACAATTTGTAGTCAAGTATTATCGATGCAACAAGAAGTTGCAAATGCATTTATCAAGAATCTTCAATTATCTCAATCGGAGATAACAAGTTTGCATGGATCACATAGAGAGTCTCCTATAACTGAAGAATTTTTTACTATTCTTAGCCGAGTACAGGTACAATTTTTAATAAAGTATTTTAAATCAAGTTTATATAACACATTAAGCATCGAGTCTTTTCTGTTGAGCTTTTCATTTAGATCATTAGGATCTGTCAGTTGTAGAAAGATATAAAAATGCTGGCAATTACTGATCGACATAGTCTGGATAGAAACTTTAAGACCAGTCCCTAGAGACTGGTTCAGCATTTAACATGTTAATTTATTTAAATATAGTAATATTACAATTTAAAGGAAATACATAGCAACTGTAGAATATTGATGCAATCTGGTTATCAAACGCTGGCATTAGATATAATGCAAAGAATGACACTTCTTCAAGAAGCCGCTTTGGAGAGGTTATACAGGTGGACGCAGAGTCAATGTAAATATATAGAAGACGAACAACTAGCACCTTTACTTGTTAAAGCGATGAGTAAATTGCAAGATAGACCTATTTTATTCAAGTACGTTGAACTCTTTATATTTTAGTAAAATATAATTCATATTTACAATTATTTATTAAAAATTTTTTATCAGGTATATTTTAGATGAATATTGCGCTAATAGAAGAACAGCTCTTGTAGGTTCTTTTATCGACGCATTAACATTAGGTGAATCCATCGGTGGAACACCAAATCCTATAGAAATGCACGCTCATGATCATAAAAGATATGTTGGCGACATGCTTGCTTGGTTGCATCAAGCGATTCCTATTGAAAAAGAGAACATATTGATTTTAGTTAAAGATTGTGATAAAACTGGTAAGAAATTGCTATCGATAATATTATTCTTAATAAATTTTTGCATACAATTATTAGGAATATTTATTTTAGATGTATCTGATCAAATTAAGCAATGTCTAAGTAATATTACGGAAGGACTTTGTCATCCACTACAATCAAGAATAGAACACATAGTTTCCGTTGAAGCTCCAGCTACTGTCTTATATTCTGTTACAACTCTAATAAGATTTTATCGTGCTATAATTCAGCAAGTTATACCAGATAGCAATTTAGATTCAACTTTATATGATTTGTTAGTATTAAGCGAGAAAAGTTTTCTCAGTAGATTACAAAGAGAAACTAGAATAGCTCTTGGAGAACGAGCTGAACCACCAGGGAATGACTTAGTACCGGCTCCATCCGTTTCAAGATTGTTATACCTCTTGAATGAAATTCTATCCGTGGCTAGCATAGCCGAAGATAGAGAAAAAGATATGCTTCAAGTAAATACAATCATATTGATATAATACATTCAATTGTATCAATATAACACAAATTTTATTGTTACAGATAGTATCGTGTATCATTGATCCATTATTACAAGAAGTCAACGAAACAGCTTCGAGATTACCTACGGTTGATATGGCTGTGTATCTTCTTAATTGTATGCATCAAATACAATCAACATTAGGATTATATGAATATATGGATCAAAGATTAGAACGATTGCAGGTAAACGATTGGTTCTAATTTAAATGTTAATATAAAATTTTATTATTTTTCTCACGCATTAACTTTTTTTAATTTATAAAATATAGGCTCAGTCGGATGCTCAAATTGATACGCTTACATCGGAACAAGCTAGCTCTTTAGTTGCAAACTTAAATCTCGGATCAATTTATACTATTTTACAAGGACGTGAACAGGGTCCTCTTTCTGATATTCCTGGAATGGATCCATTAAGTGTTAAAGAATTCACGGTAATAAATAAATCATATTTTCTGAAATATTTATTAATATAATTTTAATACATTATTTTATTATTCCTATTAATATAATTTATTATTCTAATATATTAACATGTTTCTTTTGTAATTTTATTTAGAACAAATTGGAAGCATTTTTAGTAATGCCAGATGTATTATTATTACCTCAAATAAATTTACTACAAAGCAACAATCATCGCGAGGTTACCAAGAAACGTTCATTCGAAGTAATCGGAGCTATTTACAAACAACTTTACGAAGCTTGTCACGATCCGAAAAATTTATATAAAAATCCGACTGGTTTATTTACGAAATCACCGGATGAACTTTTACAAATATTAGTTTCCCAATGATTGTGACCTTCGAGAATGAATATATTTAATAAAAATGTAAATAATCAATTTATAATTATTAATATAATTTATATTATTCTAATAACCGTATAAAACTATACTAAGGTAAAAGAATGATTAAAAATTGGATAACAATATTTTTTAAAAGTCTATACTGAGGTCCGTTCGATTGTATATTTGTAATTGGACGAAACTTTTAGTCCTCTCGAGTTGCGAAGTTGCTATTGGGTCGTTAGGGTATACTCTCAAGATTTAATAGAGGTATAAATTGACGTGTGATTCGTTTCGTGAGGCCCGTACAGGCCCGTGGCAAAAATCGATGGCTCATTTGAACCACCAGGAAATCTGTTTAGAAATATGCAGGAGCATAAAATAATAACATTCAGCACTATGCCGTCACTTGTAAGCTGTCCAACTGAGTGCAAGTGAGAATAGGAGCTATACTTATTTTATACTTCACAGTGACTCGAAAAGAAGATTGTACATCTGGTCTTAAGTAATATACCAAATCATTCGCATTATCTTCCATATTTGACACAAAGTCACTCAAACAATATTGTCTTCCTCTTTGAAGTGCTTTCGGTTTCCACAATTCGGAAGCTATTCATCATCGTCAGATAAAGTAGCATTCAAATCTAAAGTATCAATAGGACGGGTAGTGATATAATTATACATGATAGCATAGCAAAAAGAACGAGGGATAGCTTGGGATGGAAAATTTGCCCAGTTTGTAGTAGGAAAAGTGCAGGATGTTGAACTTGGTATAGTTGGATTGAGTAATTTCATGCGTTGCTGTTTATCCGCTAGACATTTACCACCATCAATTCCAATGAACATTTTTTTATTATTACCACTTGCAATGCATTCTTCGATTCTTAAATATACAAAAAAAAAACAATAACAAAATTTATTAAAAATAATAAAAAATTTTAAATTGTTGTTTAATAACACAATGACATATGCGATAAAATTTATGAACTAACTAACCTTTCAACTAGGACATTTTTATTACCTGACACGGTTAAGCCACGACATGCAGGCCATCGTTTTAAGTCCCTGACAAGATGATCTTGCACTTTTGCAAATTTCAATTTCGCCTCAGGTACATCATCTTCCGTTAATTCCGTAATAATTCTATACGTTTAACGTTGTTGTCAATAGAGAATTCAAAACATATGTACCCCCACTGGTGCTGCCTCTAGCGGATCTTTTTTTAATCTTCCCAGCAAAAAGGCTCATTCATTATTCCGCAACGCCGTATAAAAATCATGCGACAAGGGTGAAAAATCGAGGGTTGCAACCTCCCCCTCTTCAGTGGTCCTGGGAGGTGATTTGACACAACATAAAATTAATTTATTTTGAAAGTATTTTATGCATAGATAACATTTTTCCACATGCCGTACATTTTTTTGGTTCAAGGGTCTGTAAGGGGAAAAAACTTCCGAAAAATCCATGTAAAAAAATGTACTTTTGGGTTATGTTTAGTACGACATTTTTTTGTACGACATTTAGATAGTTTATTTTTATTTAATGCAAGTGTCTATAAGAAATCAATGCCGTACAAATCTGAAAGTTCATGTTCATAAAAGAGTAATAAAAATAATAAATATATATAATTTTCATTTTATGTTGTTTGCTTCGTAAAATGAACTCTCCTTTAAAATTAATATTAATCAAATAGTAAATATTAATTATTAAATGAATGTTTTATTTATTAAAATACTTTTGTCTGTTTGTTAATTTACATTTTTAATACGTACATATAGTGTTTAGGAGCGTAGTATACGTACGTAAGTGTACATACAATATAATATATACGTATATTGTATATGTATGTGTATATGTATATTACATAGGTATTCTGTATTATATCATTCCCAATACTTTTTATTTCGGCGCAAAAACAGTTAGTGTGTCAACATTGTGTATTTTGCAGCTCGATCATGTCGGAACCCGATGAGATGGCAAATTTTAGTGAAAATGAAAGGATTGTTGAAGAAAATGAGCAAGTGTGTTTTATTTGTGGTTTAACGGGTGATCCGATTGACAATAAAATAAAATGTTTAACAAGCGCAATTTTAAAAAATTGTATAAAAGCGATGGAGGTTAGGAAAAAGCAGCAACCTAACACCTCCAGAAGATCCATGGATGTTTCTTCAATCGAATTGCCCAAAGATCTTGAGGAGAAAGGATATCATCAAAAATGTTATAAACAACTAACGAACTTATCTGGAAAACGCAAAATTGAAGAAGTTGTTGATCTCGACGCCAATGAGGATTCACTCGATAATAAGAGAAGGTAATAATTAGTATTTATTATAAGTAGCAAAAAATTTTTAGTTTATCGCATTCATATTTTTGTATTTACGTTAGTTAATAGTAACATTTGTTTCATATAATCTGACAGTAAATATCATCAAATATACATGAATGAATAAAGGCGTAGAATTCGAAGTTTAATATTATTTCGTACATTGTGAAAAGTATTGCATTAAATGTAATTGTAATATTTTAAATAATAAATGCAAAATTGAAAACTACATTAACTTTTTTCCATACGAACAAAATATTATTTGCTCCAAAATGGAGTATGTGATTGCTATACTATTATGTATATGTGCGTTTACACGATCTCGGTGTACACACATTTCGTGCAGAAAATGGAATCTCGAAGCATTTATTTTTTCAGTTTTGTGCTTTTCATAAAATACAATAAATACTTTATTGACAAATATATTTGAAATTTTTTTTTTATTGAAATCATACAAAAATTGTAAAGAGTTCAATTATCAAACTAAAATTACAAGTATTGTGACAATCTTCAACGTACTATGAATAATCAGAATAATAATTTTTTTTTCAGAGAAAATAACGAAGAACATGAAGAGCACGTATCTTTTGAACATGGTGCAAGTGTTTGTGTATTTTGTACAAAAGTTCGCAAAATACATCACCGCCAGTTCATGGTATGTAGCTTCGCTAAAGTTGACAAAAATTATGAAACATTTCATGTAGTTATAAGTAAAGCTACTCAAAATTATGATTTATCGATTTTACAAAGAATTGATCAATGTCAAGACATGTCTGTACCCATACCATATCACAGAGTTTGCAAAACGGAATATTTGAACAAGTACAAACAAAAAAAAGAAATTACCGATTGGCACTTAAGGAGAGAGAAACACGAGCGAGCTCGTATGAATTTGTTTACATTTATTCAAAAGGAAATTGTTGATAATATGCACATATTTCAATATTCTTTTTTGCTTAATGTATTTAGACAGTTTTTATTGGAAGAGTATAATAACGAAAACTTACCAAAATGTTTTGACACGTCAAATTTACAAAAAGAAATTGTACAACATTTCAAAAAGTCTGTTAAAATTATTAACAATCGCGGACGCAAACACGTTGTTTCTACTAAGGCTAGTTTAGAAAATATTGACATGACTTACATTAATGAAGAAAATGTTATCAATTCTTCGGCGTTACTTTTACGCAACATTGTTTTAAGAGCAGAAAAAAATGCAATTAGTGACAATATAACTGCGCCACAACTTATCAAAGGTGAATGTGAAATTCCATATGCTCTATTACGGTTTTTTTGTCTTTTGATAACTGGAGGTGATGTAAATAGAATGAAAGATCCGAAAATGTTAGTGTTAGCCAAGTCTTCTGCTTCTGATGTTATATATGCAATTCACAGAGCAAGGTTAAGACATTCAAACATATAACTCTTGGAATAACATTAAAAAGTTTGAGTAGTAGTGAAAAGCTTGTACGCCTCTTACATTCCTACGGACATTACATTTCATACTCAAAAGTATTAGAATTGGAGACGGAAGCAACCTATGCAATCTCAGAAACAAATCAAGTATGCCTTGCTGGTATGGTATTACAACCATCTCTCAATAGTGGTTTTGCTTTCGATAATTTTGATCGATACGTGGAAACATGTGATGTTAAAGATACCATGCACGATACGGTTGGAATTTCGTTTCAAGATCGTGCTCCACAAGCTGAAACATCTTCTGAGGAAAGTAACGATGGTATTGGACGTAAGCATCGTAGAAAACGATTCTGATGACGAATTATAATTTAAAAGAGAAAAAAGAGAGAAAAAAAAGAGAAAAATTTTTTTCATTTTTGTAAAAATTTTACTTTTACTTATCGTTAAACATATGTGAAATTATTCAATAAAATTGTAGTACTTATTTTTTATTAATATTTCCTATATAAACAAATTATGACAATGTTTAAAGTATATTTCATCAAAAATTATAGAAAAATGTTAATACTGAGTTTGATAGTTTTTATTTTTTGGATATAATATTCACACTGTTTCACTTTAAATAGACGGCATAATGATTTTTACATATTATCAATTGTTAATGCCGTACAGTATCAGATGTACCCCATAAAGTACCCATAAAGATGTAACCATAAAGTACCCCTAAAACGGTAGTGTTATTTTTATCTGCCAAAAAATATGGTCTGCATTAAAATGTATGGCATCATTTTTTCTTCATTCATTTACCCAAATACTATTTAAAACAATAATCTTTCAAAAAATTGCTTTTTTTTATTAATGTACGATAATTTAAACTTTTGTAAAAATTTAAAAAATTTCATTTTTTGTTTTTCTCTATATTTTTTTTAAAACAGTTTTTTTTTTAACGGCAATATATAACAATTGTATTTAGCAATATCATGTTAAAAAAAAAGTTGCCGTACAGGGTCAAGTGACTTTACAGCTGTAAAAATCAAATATACGATTAAATTAAGTTAATTGTTGATATACATTCAAATGAACAATAATTTTTAGACGACAATATTTTTAATAGTACTTTTGAATGCCAGATAATGTTTTGAAACCGAGGACATACATTTTCAAATCACTCCACACACCCGGACCACTGAGGGGGGTGGGTTGCAACCCTCGATTTTTCACCCTTGTCGCATGATTTTTGTACGGCGTTACGGAATAATGAATTAGAAGAGGTATTGAAATTGTATGGAACCGACGTCGTATAAAATCAAATGACCAAATGACTCAGAAAATCGCCGGAAAATCAAAAATTTTTTCTGACTTTGTGGCCCACTTTTTTTGTACGGCACTACGTGTTTTCTCATTATTTTCTATGGATCTATCGGTGGTAAAATGCCGTACAAAAATATATGATCAAAAAGTACCCCCTCTACCTCCTATTCTCACCTGCACTCAGTTGGACAGCTTACAAGTGACGGCATAGTGCTGAATGTTATTATTTTATGCTCCTGCATATTTCCAAACAGATTTCCTGGTGGTTCAAATGAGCCATCGATTTTTGCCACGGGTCTGTTAGACCAAGAGCTATCAACATTGTTTTACACATTGTTCAAATGTTATTATGTCATGTATTTCTCCGCGGCGCGTGGTGGGGGTATTATTTCTCCTCTGTCGCGCATCTAACCCTGTGCTGTCAGATCGTGGGTAAATCGTACCCTCTCCCTGTGCCACTGGGATTGCACACAATGAAAGTTATCCATGTCCGTGTGTTCGGGATGTCGAAAGAAGTCGAGTGTAACCGAAGTTGGCGGGCACGCCGGAGTGGCACACTATGAAAGCGACTCGTGTCCGAACATGGACACACGCAATGGATAACTTTCATTGTGTGCAATCCCAGTCGCACAGGGAGAGGGTACGATTTACCCACGATCTGACAGCACAGGTCTAGCGTACCGAAGCGATACACTAGCGCCGCTTCTCCCTATACGGGAACCACACCAGTTAAGTATAATGTAACGTTCGAAAGATTTCAGTTTTATATATGGCGTCCAAGAGTGTACTTTTTATTAATTATAATAAAATTTTATATTATGGAGGGTAGAGGTAAGGAGTAACATCTCTTATGGGGAAAATATGAAAAAGTGTCCAGCGTTTTCTATAAATAATAGTTCAAAAACCTTCCAGAATGGCGCTGGTGTAGACAGAAGGTATGGTATGAATGTAGCAATTGAAAACGAATTGAAGTATGCCGAGTTAAAAAATTTAATATTGTTGGAGACTAAATTAGTTAATTATTTAAAATTTCAACTACTTGCGTAGTACAAAATAATGTAGTAAATATAACCTTAAAGAATTATTATGAGAAAACGTGTAGCTAGAGTGATTTTATTTCGTAAACTGTGAATAGTACGTTTATTGATTTCTTATCATTTAATTTTATGAAAATGTATGTGAATAACAAAATAGTTATGGGTAAAATTTGTCTTGTGAAAAGTTGTCCAAGTGGGCGTAAATCCAAAAACAGAAAAAATGATTCGCCTCAGCCTCTTTCGTATTTCAAACCAACAGTATGTAAATTAATTTTTTTATGAAAAATTTACTTTATAAACCATTACTCATTTTTATCATTTTTTTAATCAATGAAGACATATTTATTTTTTATTTATTTAATTTTACAGAAACCGGCGAGATTATAAAATTGGGAACTTTCGTTGGGCATTGAATTAAAAGCTACTGATTGCATTTGTCATTTCCATTTTAAAGAGGAACAAATAAAAATGTACGAGAAATTTTACATAAAAGGAGAGCTGAAGATTATGCCTACAGGAAGAAAAATGCTTAAAGAAGAAGCTTTACCAACGATCCAGCATTTGTTTATTCCGATACTTGAACATGAGTTTCTTACAAGTATTGTAGATGAACTGGAAAAGCCAAGCTTACATTCAAATAACTCTGAAGACGAACAGCTGTTTCAAATGCAAGAAAACAACATCGAGCCACAGAAAATATTACCATATGAAGATGTTTTTAACAATCTAATAGGTGTTGGTGTTCAAAGTGAACAAGATTTGATAGAACCACCTTTCAGTCAACACGCATCTAAGGATTCGAAGAATCTACAAGAAATCAAAGCTCCAAAATTGCCGCTGTTTTGGCTGTATGTACCCAAGCCCAATAGATTTGTATTTATGCGAATGGATCCAACAACTCAGCAGATCAAAATTCGGTTACGCTTAAACGAGAATATATCTATTACTGTATGTATTAATTAATGTCCGAGTAGATACATCTATTTTTTTTTATAACAATCATTAACTACTATTCTATTTCAGGTTATTTATCCTAACAATGAAAAACTGCCTCTAAACGAGAAAATTAATTCATCAAGTAGTGTCTATGATTACTTGAAATCAGTGGAAAGATGGCCTTTATGCGTTGGCACTCCGATTGACAGTACTAAGTAAAGGTAACTTGTTTTTACATAAGTAAATGTATGAGCTATACTAAGAAGAGGATTTATACGAATTTAATTAAAATAATTACATTAATTTTCAGGTATTGAAAACTTTGTAAAAATGTGATTGTTGGTGATGACACTTATAAAAGAAACCAAGTTAATCCAGGATGTAAATCCTGTCAAATGTTACGGAATCGACTACAGAGTCGAAATTCGACTTCAAATAATTTGGAAACAACTGCTACAAAAAGACGTGCTTCAAATCTGATTAAACAGTGCAAACGTCTTAAAAGAATGGTAAGTTTTGTAAAATACAATTGTTTTTGGTTTGAAGTAGCATTTCATTCTAACCATTATTCAAGATTTATTAATTTAACAATTGAAATCGTTTCTGATTGTACGTTAATCAGTTCTATAATAAATATTGTGTTGAAGAAGTCATAATGCTTACATAATTCAACGAAGAATGACACCAAAGGGTTATAAACTTTAGGTAAGTTACAATTGAACTTTAATATTAATCATATTTTAATATAACTTCGTAAGATTATTACATAAACATAATCTTCAAGCTCAATCAATTATACATTCTCTATTGTGCAATGAATTAAATAATATACTGAATGTTTTTTTTTCCTATTTTATTCACGACGTCCAAAATTGTTAACAACTTCGTTGTTTACTTATAGAAAATTCAACTAGTGTGCTATGAAGTCAAATGCTGCACAGTACAAGAAGCAATCATGAAGTTGCCGACAGAATTCCAAAGTAAATTCGTGCTTTGAAGCTGCGAAAAAAAAGGATGCTAAAGGTCGACGATTTACCTTAGAGTGGATATACGAATGTATATTGATTCATTTAAAAAGCAAAACCACGTATCAATTCTTACGTCACAGAAATATTTTACCTCTTCCCTCTATCACTACATTAAATAAATTTATTCGGAAAATTAGCTGTTCTGCTTACGGCATTCAACCTACTACTTTCTTTATCTTAAAAGAAAGATGTGAAACAATGGAGAAAGGAGAAAAACAAGGAGTTATTTTGGTTGACGAGATGAAATTGAGCGAAGGTGTTTCTTTTGATTAACAATCAATGAAATTTTCTGGTTTTGTTAAACCTCGGAAAGCACACCCCGGAGGATTTAAAAAATAAAACGAATAACCATGCTTTAGTCTTCAAATTTGTACCATTTAAAGGTAGATGGGTTCAAACATTGGGTTGCTTTCTCTCACAGAATGCTAGCAAAAGCAAACCATTACATAAACCCATCGTCGAATGTATTATACTGATGGAAAATAGGGGGATCAATGTTGACGTTGTTGTTATGGATGGTGCATTTTGGAATAGAGGTGTATGGAAACTATTTGATGTAGACGAAAATAATATCAGCTATGAACATCCATATGACAGCTTATGGCGACTATGGGTGATATCGGATTTCAACCATTTACTTAAATGCTTTCGAGCTTCGACCTTAGATGATAAACTGCATGAGTTTAAGGTTGAATAGAGTACATTTCTTTATATTAAGAAATTTAACTATGTTATTGTTGTTATCAAAATTATAAATTTTCTAGACTCCTTTTGGGACAGTAAAAAAACGGCATTGGGAAGCACTGTTAGAAGAAGAAAATTATCGTCAGCCAAATTTGAAAATCACTTACAAATAAACACCTGCGCATTATTAACTAAAGAGTTTCCAAGCAATGAACGTTCCTCTTGCTACAGAAGTTTGTATAATATTTTGATATTTATATCTATTAATTAAGAAGAAAATTGACAGTACGATAGATTTTATAGTTTAAATTCCGTTTGTTTTATTATAATATTTTAATTTCGATACTTACAGATATTCGGTCATGAAGTATCTGTTGCCATGGCTCATTATCAATCAACTTGCGACAAATTAAAAGATTCTACTCCGACGCAAAAATTTATTAACCTAGTTTTTAACTTGATCCAAGCGATGTCATCACGTATACCGAGAGATGCTTTGTATGTTAAAGATGATTGCCGTAATAAACAGGTAAGATTGATTATAAAAACAAAAAATAATCAGAAGTTAAAAAATTGTAGTTTTCATTGGAAAAATATCACACGAGAAAGTTTTGGCTCGACGATCATGGCAATAGGTACCACGCTTAAATCGTCAGGTACTCAATGACGAACGTTTATGTGTTATATTAAAAGTAGCTTAGAAAAGTTTATTTTATGGAAATTTTTATAGATGGATTATACATTAGAATGATTTCGGAAATATTTTTTTATATTGCTCAAACGTATGGCTTATTTCGTGTGATAATTTATGTGTTTTTAGCTTTCATAGACAGTGCATAGAATCTTGATAATAGGTGTATCCATAAAATAAAGAAATTGTACATTGGCTTAATGTTTATGTTGTTTTATATTTTTATTGGTTTATAACTGATTAATTTCATCGTTTTCAAATTTTAATACTTATTCTATATAAACGTTTTTCAGGCGATTTTCAAATTCTTACAATTCCTTGAAGATTGGGAAAAGCTTGAGAAGAAAATACCTGTTTCGGGAAGTACCTTATTGGGATTAAAAGTAACCTTACGGGCAACTCTTGAAATTTTAGAAATGCTTAAATTCGAACGTGATTTTAAATATTTAATGACGGCAACTTTATCGCAAGACCCTTTGGAGGTTATTGTACTTTTATGATCATAATATTACAATTTTTGGAAAAATTCGTTCTATTTTCTATTGAATATTTATTTCTTTTATATTTCAGAAATTTTTGTCTGTCATGAGACATTCATGTGGAGGTAAAGATCATCCCGACCCTAAAATGTTTGCTCAAGTATATCGCTTAGCATCTTCCTTCTCCCTGATACGTCCACCAAGAGGGTGCAATGTTTCAGGAAAAGATCTTTTACGGAGTCTAATAGAGGCTAGGTATGTCTTAACTTCATCTGAAAAACAAAGGAAGGATTCATGGCTTGAAAGCATTGACAAAATGTTAGAAAGTTCTCAACCATTAGATGAAAGCTCCTCAATCGACGAGGACCACGATTATAACGAGACCGTAACTAGTGATGCGGTCCAGTCGTACATAGCTGGTTATATAGTTCGCAAATTGAGAAAAATCCTAAAATGTGAAATTTGTTTAGAAGCTATAGAGACGCATGCAAAAGTTGGTAAACAATTACAACGGAATGACGTTATCGATAAAATGGACGTATATGGTGGACTACTTACGAGACTACGATCAAGTAATCAATTATTTGATTTGACGAAGCAATTGGAAAAGTACGTGTTAAGGGCTGTCAGTAAAAACTGTACTAATGTTGAAACAATCAACGAAATAAATGTGGAACTCAGAAAAAAAATCGTTTTTAAAATTGGGTGTTTCAACATGAAAGTAGTTTAACAACAAAAGTTATAGATATTTATATTGTTATCGAACCCATTTTTTGGCTAAGTCAGAGAATAAGCGTTACGAAGCAGCAAAAATTAATACTAAAATGAATCGAAAAGATGCCAAATTATTATCATAAACTCAAGACTTGTGATTTTAAAAAATTTTTAATATTTAATTTATCATTGAAAATGTTTATATTTCATTATGTCTTTTATTGTTGTTAATTCATATTGTTTACTACGTGTTAAGTCCGTCTTATGACTGCTTTTGCATATCGAAATATGCTAATTTACAGAAATAAATTATTTTTTATAGCGAATAACAATGTTTTAATACATCAATTGATTAAATGTTTCTATGATTTATTCTAAAAATTTGTTAGATGCAAAAATTGATTGCTTATAGGGGAAAATTTTTTATTATTGTTTTGCTCTTGATGAACTTTTGTACTCTAATTTTAAACACATTCATTTATTTATTTCTTTATTTTTATTTACTTATGTATTTAGTATAACATATGATTCTTTCTTCTTATTAATATATTTATTTTTTTTGTAATATTCACTAAGTAGACGTTAAAAAATGATACACAAAAAATCATATGTTGTTTCCTACTTTATGAGGATTTTGAAAAGCGCGCTATAACTTAGCGGAAGTTTTTCTTTCCTTGTTTATTTCTCAATCCTACTCTAATAATATTTGGCGCTTCCTTCAAAATTTACCCTAAAGCTACTGTGGCGCCACCATAATTTAATGCATTTCGACGGAAACTTTTTATATACAGAGAGAGAGAGAGAGAGAGACACGGAGGATAGATACCAGGAGTCCGAACGATATAGGATTTATCAAATTATTTGTGGTAGTCATTTCTTGACCCAGATCATAGTTCTCTTTTTTGCCACTGGCTGCGCAAGTATTCAGAACGTACCGATACTATTATTATTATTATTACACGTAAATACGGACTGATTAACCTGGCTCGTGACTGTAAAAATAAACTAAATTAAATATAAAATATTAATTTATTTTTTTAGAATTATTTTTATTAAAAAATGGGAAAGTGTTGTGCCGTTTATGGTTGCCTTAGTGGCCGAAAGGCAAGTGAGAATTTAGGAAAAGTGGCTTTATTCAAAGCACCAAAAGTGAGTAACTTCAAAATAATATTAAAAATTTTATGTTAACAAATAATTGATTATTACATTTGTGTAGTTTTTAAATAATATTAATTCCATGTTTCTTAAAATATTTTTTTTCAGAGCTGTCAATAGAGCAACAAGACTTCCCGCGTAAGTATTTAAACGAGTACTCTGTGAAAAGCAGCGCGCCTTACCGGCAACATATCTGTCCCCTAAATTGATACCGTTCTTTCAACATTACGTTCAGACTCCTGGTATCTATCCTCCGTGTACATAGATGTTTCTTCTTACCTCTACCCTCCATATTTTATATGTTCTCGTTGGTAAATTCACCCCGTTTTCCAATATCAGAGCATAATGCGACTCAGTGTCGCACAATGCCGCATTGTGCTAATGCTTAATTGGAACATGAATTAGTTTTCAAGTGCACCAGCAGAGTGCGCTAAGTTCAGTGTTGAAACAAAAAATATTCATAGACTTAGCAACCTCATTAATGTATAAATAAAGTGGTAAACAATAATAATTGGTCGAAAACTATTTACGGTTAT